AATGATCCTGTAGTCTAGTCTCCAAGTGGTTGCTTCGAGACTGTCCGAGAGACCGCATGCATAAACCCTAAACCCTAAACCCTACACCCTATAGTACCCTTTAAAGGAAGCCTAGGATCCCTAGATCCCTTTAAAGGAACCCCTAAAGGTCCCTACACTACCGAGTCCTTGGCTCGGCGGAGGAGCTGCAAAGCCGCCGACTGAAGGGCTGGGGTCTCCAAAGCCTCGGCGTTTTTGGGGGCCTTTCGGGGTTCCTTTAAAGGGTACTATAAGGGTTCCTTTAAAGGGATCTATAGGGTTTAGGGTTTAGTGTTTAGTGTTTAGGGTTTGGAGGTTTCGGGTTTAGGGTTAAGGGCTCTTTGGGGCTAAGGGTTTGGGGCTTTGGGGTTTAGGGTAAAGAGCTCTTTGGGGCTAAGGGTTTGGGGCTTTAGGGTTTAGGGTGAAGGGCTCTTTGGGGCAAAGGGTTTGGGGCTTTCGGGTTTAGGGTTAAGGGCTCTTTGGGGCTAAGGGTTTGGGGCTTTAGGGTTTAGGGTTAAGGGCTCTTTGGGGCTAAGGGTTTGGGGCTTTCGGGTTTAGGGTTAAGGGCTCTTTGGGGCTAAGGGTTTGGGGCTTTGCAGTTTAGGGTGAAGGGCTCTTTGGGGCTAAGGGTTTGGGGCTTTAGGGTTTAGGGTTACGGGCTCTTTGGGGTTAAAGGTTTGGGCTTTCGGGTTTAGGGCTAAGGGCTCTGGAGCTTAGGGCTAAAACTCTGGAGTTTAGGGCTAAGAGCTCTGGAGTTCAGGGCCAAGGGCTCTGGAGTTTAGGGCTAAGGGTTTAGCTCCGGGCTAAAGGCTCTCGGGTTAAGGGCTTCCAAGCTACACAGCTTTAGAGTTTTGGCTTTAGGATTTATATGGGCAGTTCTCTAAATTAGGGTCCCCTTTAGGGTCCTTTTTATAAGAGTGCCGTACTACATTAGGGGTCTAAAAAGGGACCCTAATTTAGAGAACTGCCCATACACTTGTACAAGGCTTTACTTTTTCGGGGTTTAGCGTGTTTGGGTTGCGAGGGCTAAGGGATGTGAAATGCGAAAGCCTACAGAACAGGTCACGACGTCGGAAGAGAAGCCTGTAGCATAAGAAGCACCCGAAAAGGCCGACACCTTCTACTTTAAGGAGAAGTCTCCAACTAAGGGGTGCAGAGGGAACCCTAAACCCCTAAACCCCTAAACCCCTAAACCCCAAAACCCTAAACCCTCGCGGGGAAGCTGAAACAAGGCCAGCTGCATTCTGGATGTGCGACATCAAAGCTTCGAAGACTGTGCTCTTCTCGATCATGGCTCTCCGCGCCTAGCCCCCAAGCGTGTCAAGCTGGCTTGTTTCGGGAAGAGGCGCAGAGTTGAACCTGCGACTAGAGCTATTCCACAAAGTCTAGGATATGGGGGGGGGGGGTGGGGTTTGAGGGGTTCGGTTCCTCCGTCTTCTCCCGCATTTGTGAAGCCTGACTGCTGGCCTCCGGCTCTCGCGGCAATCTCACGTTATGGCGTGGCACAGGTACTGGCAGGTTTCGCCAGACCAACGCTGCGAGAGGAATCGTTATCAGTGTGAAACCAAGGGGAGCCAAATCAAGAAGGAGCCAGGCAAAGAATCCATTGAGATAGATGAAGGCGCCGAAGATGAAGATCCCTGGCAGTAGAAGGAGCAAGGACTTAGTATAATCCAGTAATCGACAGGCACACTTTGTCTGCATGGCCCATGCCAGGCGAAACATCACGCGGAAGAGGATGGGAACCACTCCGAGCCAGTAAGACAGGCCCAAGAGAAGCTGCATGATTCCAATTACCAAATTATGAGCTTCACCACCCTCTGCCACATGAACAAAATGCCAGAGCTGGCGTGCCGCAACGTCAAGATGAAACCAAAAGAATACCGGAGAGGCCTCGGCTAAACGCCAGTATGAAACCATGTGATTGGAGAGCTGATCCACCAGCAACTTGTATAAATCGCTTTGGACTTGTTGTTCGAAAGCTTCGATGCCACCAAACCAAATGTTGATGCATCTCTGCATCACCTCTCGGTCGCACATCAGAGGTTCTTTGCTATGGGGGTGTTTGTGCTCTACAGAGCAGCAAAAGCTTTCAGCTGTTGCAAAACTGAAGTGTGCGATGTGCTGGCACATTGTCTTCACATCACGGCAGTACTCACGGACGAGGTGCGCAATGTACCAGAAAATTACCCCACAAAGAGCAAGCCCCAAGAAGAGAGCAGCATCCATTCCAATGGTGTCATGTCCAATGGTGTTGCCAATGAAGTGGAAGGCGAAACCTCCAAGTGCGCATGCAAACCAGCATGCAAACATGGTGAATCCCAGGAGGGTCGGTCGGATGATGACGCGCGGCTTCTCGCCTGGGGACCTGCTGCGAATGAAGGCGGCTAGCTCGTACACGCACCAAAGTCGAAGAGCCCAAGTTGGATCCCAAAGCACCAGCATGGTATCGGAGCATTTAAGTATGGCCCCCAAGCTCAAGGTGCCCTGCGCTTGGAGTTCGGGATTCACTTGAGAGATGCATACACGGTCGACAAACACTAACTGCCGGGGCCGCCAAAGCAGCATTGTCAGCAAATAGGCGAGGCATCCGGAGCTCAAGCACCACCAGCTGCTCCCGTCATCATCGGGAAGCACGCCAAATCCGAGAGCGATGCACGCAGCAACTGCTACTCCTGTGCCTGCCGCGGTGGCGGCCCCGGCTTTGGTAAGGAAGAACAAAGTGGCAACCTTTCCTGAAACGGAACCATGCCAGCTGTGGGACCAGAATGCATGCAAACGAGTTGTGGTCTGGCTCAGATGATAGAAATCGCCAGGAGCTCTCCTAGGCTGCTCAGTATTTATCCACCGGGAAACAGCTTATACTTCTTTAGGATAGTTGTATTGTCGTAGGAACTGAGAAACAAACACCCAGGCTATACTCCTGAAGCGCCTAGTCTCAGGGGCCTGCCCAGCCGGTGAAGTACATTCTGGACACGAGTGGCCCGGACGACATCGGGCCGAACCGGCTCCAGCTTGGAGATGATGTCAGCGGCAAATTCGGCTATCGACTCTGCCTGGGCCGCTTCCTCGTCTGAGGAAGAGCTGGACTTTGTCTGGGCCAGACATTCCCCAGCTTCCTTGTCTGAGGAAGAGCTGGGCCGTTCCGAAGGTACCGACACATCGACGTCGAGGTCACTGTCGAGGATTTCGGGATGTCCCAGTACGGTCACAGTCGGCGGCATGGAAACCAGCTGCTGACGCATGTGCGAATCTGCTACAACACTTCTCAGCCCCAAGACGCCAACACATGACACATAATCTCTACGTCTCGCATCCCCATAACAGGACACCCCGGACCGAAACTTGTCAAACAGTCAAACGGTTTTCCTGGGCCCTCTCTCTCTCTCTATATATATAATATGTACATATACTCATATATACATACAGTTCACTAGCTCACGAAATATGAACACAACGTCATGTCATCCGACATGAGCCCCAACACCGTAAACCCTGGAGTCTCAACCGCACCATGCTGAAAACCCATGACATGAATCCTGAACTCACAGAAAACCCAAACGAGTAAACTCCATAGACAAAAGGAACTATAAACCCCAAAAATTGCTAACACTGAAATCGTAACCTCCCAGGAATCCATAGCGTTAATAACCTACTAAATTGGCAAGATAGTGGGAACATATGAGTAGTTATTTCGACCCCTTCAGCAGGGTGGTTCTCTAAATTAGGGCCCCTTTCCGTGACCTTCTTATAAGGGTGCCGTACTGATCTTGGGACCTAAACAGGGACCGAAATTTAGGGACCTACCTGTTGGGCCAGGTTTTGGGTTTAAGGCTTCTGGTTTCCGGGCTGGGAGAGGGCGAAGTCAATGGTTTCCAATTCACGGTTCCGGGTTGAGGGTTTGGGATTTTGGGGTCCAGTGAAATCGTGAAGTCTGTGGCGCAGCTTTGAACCTACGACCTGAGCTATTGCTCAGAGTCTAGGAATTTGGGGCAGGGTTTAAGGGGTTCGGTTCCTCCGTCCACTCCCGCACTTGGGAAGCCTGACTGCTGGCGCCAAGTTTTCCAGAGTGGGCTCCGGGCTCTCGCGGCAATCTCACGTTGTGGCGTGGCACAGGTACCGGCAGGTTTCGCCAGACCAGCGCTGCGAGAGGAATCGTTATCAGTGCGACACCAAGGGAACCCAAATCATGTGGAAAGTGACGGGAAAGGAATGCATGGAGATAGAGGAAGGCGCCGAAGATGAAGATCCCTGGCAGTAGAAGGAGCAAGGACTTAGTATAATCCAGTAATCGACAGGCACACTTTGTCTGCATGGCCCATGCCAGGCGAAACATCACGCGGAAGAGGATGGGAACCACTCCGAGCCAGTAAGACAGGCCCAAGAGAATCTGCATGCTTCCAATGGTCAAATAGTGAGCTTCACCACCCTCTGCCGCATGAATAAAATGCAGGAGCTCGCGTGCCGCATTGTCAAGATGAAACCAAAAGAATACCGGAGAGGCCTCCGCCAAACGCCAGTATGACACCATGTGATTCGAAAGCTGATCCACCAGCAAATTGTATAAATCGCCTTGGACTCGCTGTTCAAAAGATTCGATGCCACCAAACCAAATGTTGATGCATCTCTGCATCACCTCTCGGTCGCACATCAGAGGTTCTTTGCTATGGGGGTGTTTGTGCTCTACAGAGCAGCAAAAGCTTTCAGCTGTTGCAAAACTGAAGTGTGCGATGTGCTGGCACATTGTCGTCACATCACGGCAGTACTCACGGACGAGGTGTGCAATGTACCAGAAAATTACCCCACAAAGAGCAAGCCCCCCGTTGGCGCTGTTAGCGAAGTGGAAGGCGAAACCTCCAAGTGCGCATGCAAACCAGCATGCAAACATGTTGAATCCCAGGAAAGTCGGTCGGATGATGACGCGCGGCTTCTCGCCTGGGGACCTGCTGCGAATGAAGGCGGCCAGCTCGTACACACACCAAAGTCGACGAGCCCAAGTTGGATCCCAAAGCACCAGCATGGTATCGGAGCACTTAAGTATGGCCCCCAAGCTCAAGGTGCCCTGCGCTTGCAGTTCAGGATTCACTTGAGAGATGCATACACGGTCGACAAACACTAACTGCCGGGGCCGCCAAAACAGCATTGTCAGCAAATAGGCGAGGCATCCGGAGCTCAAGCACCACCAGCTGCTCCCGTCATCATCGGGAAGCACGCCACATCCGAAAACGATGCACGCAGCAACTGCTGCTCCTGTGCCTGCCGCAGCGGCGGCCCGGGCTTTGTTAAGGAAAAATAGAGTGGCAACCTTTCCTGAAACGGAACCATGCCAGCTGTGGGACCAGAATGCATGCAAACGAGCTGTGGTCTGGCTCAGATGATAGAAATCGCCACGAGTTCTCCTAGGCTGCTCAATATTTGATCCACTGGGAAACAGTTTATACTTCTTTGGGATAGTTGTATTGTGGCAGGAACCCAGAAACAAATTAAAGGACCGGATAACCCCACATGTGTATTTTTAGCATCGACAGGAAACGCAAAAACAGTGAGAGAGTGAGTGAGAGAGTAAGTCAGTGAATGAGTGGGTGAGAGAGTGGATGAGTGAGTGAGTGTGGGTGAGTGAGGGAGTAAGTGAGTGAATGAGTGGTGAGTGAATGTGAGTGAGTGAATGGATGGGTGAGTGTGTGTGTGTGTGTGAAACTCCTGTCTCGAAGGATGTAATGGTAAATACTCCAAAGCTGTAGAAAAAATGCAGGGGGCACAGGCCTGTCTTGGATACCTGTGCCAACGAAGCTATTCCAAGACAGGGGATGGGTGGTCTGATCAACCACCTGTACCTG